TCCCCCGATGGTTTTTCCCGTTTCACGCCTTAAATATCGATCCCACAGAAAAATTCATAGGCACCATTTTTGTTCCTGATAAAATTTCCTATCATCCTGCTTAAAAAAAATTACGCTGACATTAGCCGTTCAGTAGTTATTCAAAATTCAAAATTTGGGGGCCCCCTGCCCCCCAGGGGGCTCAGATTTTTGGGGTCTATGTCTGAATCGAATGTCTATAGGGTAGAGATGAATCCCTGAAATTTTCATGCTTTCTTCCAGAAGTGCACGATTGTTATGCTTATCGGCCCCACTATCACGTAAAAATCGAATATCTCGGCAACCAGTGGTCCAAATTTAAAAATCTTGGTACCTATGGAGAGCTGAGGATATAAGTAAGAAGTTATTTTTTACCGATATGATTTATCTCTTTTAGTTTCGGAGATATGAAAGGGGTGAACTTACTTTTTGGATGACCCTCGTAGCCGATCGGGCTAGAAAAATTTAGTTCATGTAACGCCTGTCGATTTTCCTCGATTTATGACTGAGAAAAAAAATCGAGATTTCAGTCGCACCCTAATTTTTTGGAGGCGTAGAATCGATTTCGCAAGGTCCCGACTCTCGGCGAGACTTCCTGAGCCGATGAACAGTCAAAAACTGGTAAAAACGAGCTGTTCAGACCAATTTTTGACTCTTTCTCCGGAGCGTTTTCAGCGGATAGCTCGAAGCGAGGGACTCGCGGACCTTTTCCGACTGAAAAATCGCACTCAGCGGGTCAATTCAAAGTTACCTTACTTGGTGTCGGTCCGATTGGCGAACTTTTGACTTTGTCGAGCGGAGAACCAGTCAAAAACAGGTCAAAGACGAGCATTTCTGACCTCTTTTTGATCCTTTCTCTTGAGCGTTTTCAGCAGATAGCTCTAAGCGAGGGACTCGCGGAGCTTTCCGGACTAGAAAATCGCACTCAGCGGGTCATTTCCAAGCGACCTTACGTGATTTCTGACCGATCAGCGAATTTTCGATTTTGATGCTAAAAATTTAGTCCATGTAACCCCTGTCGATTTTTCTCGATTTGGGACTGAGAAAAAAATTTAAAGATTTCAGTCGCATTAGTTAAAGGCGAAGAATTGATTCCGCACGGTCCCGACACTCGGCGAGGCTCCCTGAACTAAGAATCAGTCAAAAATTCGTACAAAACTAGCTTTTCTGACCACTTTTTGTCTCTTTCTTCGGAGCGTTTTAAACGGATAACTCGGTGCGAGGGACCCGAGGAGCTTTCCCGACTGGAAAATCCACTCAGCGGGTCAATTTGTCTAATTGTAATTACGATAACATTGATATAGTAAAGATTTTTTTACGCCTTCAAATCCAGCGATACTCTCCGCTTTGCCGAGGAGTTCGTTTAGTTGCTTAACCGAACCTAACACAGATTATTGATGACATTTCACGGACTTCCATGGTACATGAGGAACGATGATATCAGATCGGAACTCGGTTTAGAAAGTCTGGACGTTTACATCTCCCGTATGTACGGAAGGTATGAAGAGCGTCTGGAATCTCATCCCAATCCAGAGGCAATTAAGCTTCTGGACAGGGCAGGGGAGACCAGACGACTAAAGCGCAGGAAGCGACATGAGCTTTGCACACCTGACTTCCGCAAAATTTAAATAGCACCATCAACTTCAGGGCTCTGTTCCCCTTTACCTATGTCGGCAAGGGAATATCCCAATGACAAAGACAAAAATTTTCTAGTAAAGTAGTTTATTTATGTACAAGTTCTTATAGTTAGGTTTTTTAGCACTTTTTTACCAATTTCTCAATTCTGTTTCTTTTATAATTTTTTTTTTTTTTTTTTTTTTTTTTTTTTTCTTTCACTAATTTTATCTTTGTATAGTAACATTCTCATTCTATTTAGCTCTTCTTTTCCACGACTCATATTTACTCATATATCTTAACAATTTTAACCACCATATTCTCAGTCTTTCAAATTTTGTCTTTTCTTTTTATTAGTGTCAATAGACCGCACCAAAAAGTGCCTTTCTTATTCTAGTATACATACAGTGTTAAATTTAAGTGTAAAAAGATTCGATGAGTCTGATCACATTGTTGTATTGTATTTTAATTGTATATAATACTGAATAAAAAAAAAAAATTTTCACGGACTCGCGAATGTGCTAGCTGGCACCATGTATCCAAGAAGAAGGGGCTAACGTATGTTTGAATTCAAAGCATAATAATCCCTACTTCCGATCTCGTTTTTTCACTTTAAAACAATTTAATTTAATGATTAAACACGAAGAGATTGCAATTAGCCGGCATATGCTAATTGCCTTCAACATATACACCTGTGAATGTTTGTGAGGAAATTAATGAGAAAAAAAATTACTGACTGAACAATCACAATCACTGCCTGTGCAAATGTCAATTAAACAATACTAAAGCACTTTATCGATGGTGAAAGTGCAGAGGTGCGAATCTCGGAAAATACGATTTTCAAGGAGAGTAAAAAAACAGTCTGCATTCCTCTTAATTGTCGGTAGAAGGATTAAACATTATTGAGGATAGCAAGAATTAGATGTTTTTTCAAACTCCATCAGCAGAATCAATAATTTCTCGAACTGTTAGAAAATACGGCAGAAATGCCGAGATTCGCATTATTTGGTATTAATATTCTACACTTCATCAGGAGATACACATTTTTGCAATATGTGTTTAAAACTTGTTGGTGGTTTTGGATCATTTCAGGACTCAAAAAAGGGTTGCACCCTTAAAATTCCTTATCAGATAAGATTAAGTTGGTTATCGATGCTCCATCCATCCAAGTTTTACGCTTTCCTAATGGACCAGTGGAAAAAGTACCTATCTTCAATTCTGATTATTCACAGTTAATCAAAGAAAGCTCATTTTATCCGTGCGAAACATTTTAAATTCACAACCGCTTTTGAGAAAGTTCCGATCTTGTAAACGGCGACTCTTTCAGTTTCGCTTCTAAATACGATGACCGAACCAAGGGACTTAAAATACACAATCTGATCCAGCCGCCGGCAGTTTCTTCTTTGAATTAAGACGTAGACACGAAAAACAATGTAATTATTTTTTCAAAATCATATACCTCGGCATGTTTCAAATATGCGGCTCGATTTAAAACCCAAAATTATGAACTTTTTGGTCAAAATCATTCTACGAGGCCACTCACAAAGGATAAAGAAGAGCGCCTTCAAATCAATGCGTAAACTTAATGCGAAATTCTGATACCACTATTCGTGCGTCACGGCAGTCATCTTACATACCCGGCCATCTGAAGGCGAATCATTGACTTCAGACAACGGGGTACGAATAACAGCAATGCTATTCGATAAACTCCGGGCGGCGGGGCCGCCCCCCTGAACCCTAAGGAGCCGAACGCGGGGGTCAGCCCCCTGAACCCTAAGGAGCCGAACGCGGGGGTCAGCCCCCTGAACCCTAAGGAGCCGAACGCGGGGGTCAGTCCCCTGAACCCTAAGAAGCTGAGGAGGAGCCTAAGGAGCCCGAGCGCTTAAGGAGTGAAAGCCGGGGGTCATATCAGGTGCATTTAGTTATCCACGAATCAAAAATGAACAATTTCAATCCCAAAAAATCGTCCTTATTCTATAAAAAGTCTTAAAAAATCGATATAACCGATCGATATATTGACTCATTAACGTTAAAACTCGATTTTGCGTGTAAAAATTCGTAGGAACCGGGGTTCATGACATTTTCAATTAAACATAAGCGTAGACACATCAGTTGAACAAGAAAATAGCGAAAAGTGAGGCCAAAGTTTGATCCCTTTGCCCACCCGTAACTCGAAAACGGATCCTACACTCATCTTGATTACTTTTCCTGAGTTTTCTGTTCATTTAAAAAAATTTCGACGGTGTAAGTCGGCAATCACGTAACTTGGTTTGCGACGTCGCAGACTTCCTGTCATACTTTATTTTTTAACGGAAAACTATTCAACGGCAATTCTTTAAAACTTTCTTGATTTTTCCTCTCTGTGCGAAGAAAATTCTGTAAAAATGTCAAGGAATGATGCCAATTTGTTCTCCTTTAAAAAAAATAACATAGAGGCGGAAATTTTCAGACACCGCAAACGAGTTATGTGTACCTTTTTCTTACGAAACAAGGGTTGCCTGTGACTTCGTAGTGGTTTGTCACGGGTAACACGGGCCCCGGTACCAGGGACCCAATACCCCCCCCCCCCTTCTGGCGGGCCTGTCTCTGGCTCTTCCATAAAAGCACATAACTACGTAGAGAAACTAATGGCTCGTGCGCTGTTTCTAAAATTGACCAGAAATAGTGGTTCCTTATTGCGAATTGTAATCCAAATAGAACTACCGGAGAAAACATGCCCCTTTCTAACAACTCAGTTGCAAATTTTGCAAAAATAGGCATGCGAAGCGCGAGAAAATTTTCAAGTTAACACGCATAAGTAAATCTCGAGGCAATACTTAAGAACAGGCACAAAAATTATCTTTAAAAAAGGCGTTCTCCAGTGAGTGATGCAGTATTGGTGCTTTGGTATTTTTATCGTTGACTTTAAAAGTTCTTTGTCCCGCCGGAATTATATATACTTAATGTGAAATCAAATCGAGGTATAGGTTATTAGAATGTTCAAAATACTAAAAAATACCAAACGGTCCAAGAAGATGTAACTGTTTTTGGGATGTTGTAAGGAAATATCGTTCTCCTTGTTCAGAGGAGACTAATCGGAATTTTCTTAACAATATTCTCTCACACTTTTTACGACTGGGAATACAGGAGTAACGTCGTATCTGAAATACACGTATTTCTTTCAAACGGAACCATGTGCATTATGACGTGAGGCCTGTTATGCGTGTATTCTTATGGGTCTCAGGGCTCATGTTTTAATGCTCATAGTTCCGTCCGGCAGAAATTCGTCCAAATCTCCTTGCTTCTCCTACCCTGTCGTGCAACTGAACTGAAGTTTCTCATTGCCTCGCAGCATTTTGAAAATCGACAAGACTTGTCAAAATAAAAAGCGGCATTGTGGGATAAGTCGAGGAAAACAGAAGTATGAGCAGGAGTGTTGGTCATGCTGAAGGTCAAGTGCCCAGGTGGTATAATAATAGCAGCTCGCTATCAGAATGGAGGAATGAAAAACGAATGAGTCGTTACTGAAATAAGCGAAACGGTATTGGTTGCTCCTTGATAAACGCCGTTCAACAGTGAATCAGTTCTTATTTGCACAGCTTGCCGCGTGCACTGCCTCGACAACCATGTTTTTTAAACTTTCATTTTATCCTTTTTTAAAGCGCGGAGCAAAGGGAATCCTAGAATCTGGTGAATTTCAACATCATGAGGATTATCACACAGTACGTACACTCGTTAATTTTTCATCATTATTTTCAATAATTCTTCGTGTCCCATTCAATATTTTCTCATACAGTGACCCCTCTTCTAAGACTCACGGGGAAAAGAACACAAATCGACGGTGAAAATACCAAACCACGTATCTCAGTTTGCGACATTCCAGACTTCCTCTCATATTTTACTTTTTCAATGGGAAACTCATCAACGTCAATTTTTAAAAATGTCTCCGTTTTTTCTGCTGTGTGCGAAGAAAATTCCGTGAAGGCTTAAAACATGATGATAATTTATTCTGTTTTAAAACAATTAAGTGAAAGTGGAGATTTTGAAACACAGCAAACGAGATGCGTTGTTTTTCAGTTTATTCGTCGACAAGCATTTGTCACTGTTGAATTTTAAGGTTTTCTTTTTATATTTTTTCATAAATGAAAATTTTAAATTTTATACAATTGCCTCCAACAATATTCTAATTACATACGCGATTTTTCTGAGTATTTTGTACAAGGATTAAATTAGTGCATTTTTATGTTAGTAAAAGAACGAAAAGGTGGACAATATTAGTAATTCCAGATGGACGCGCGTCCTTTTTCCAAATGTTGTTGTTACAAGATTGCATGGATGTGATCTCGCGATCAATTTTTTTAATAACAGTAAAAGCTGTTACTTAATTTTTGAACATGCATACAAGCAATTCACGCTTCCACTTCAGGTGTTTTTTCTCAAAAAGCGCCGTTACTGAGGCCACCGTCATCAGCTGACTGCCGACTCCGCAGTCTTTTTGCGAGCTAATTGTTGAAACTGGTAGACAAAGCTATAGACAAAGCTATAGACAAAGAAGATAAGGTGGAGGGATCCTATTGGTGAAAGCGATCGGTTGCAATGGACAAAGAAGGTAGGTAATATACTAATTAAAAGCAACCCACGAGAAACCCTGCAGTTAGCCCATCATTTTCTCCCTCAGTTTATAGGAACCAACCATTTCAACCGATAGGATCGCTTCATACTTCGTAAGTATTAGTCTAACGCTTTGTCCATCAATTCCAACAATCAGCCAGCTGTTTGAAAAGTATTAGGGTCGGCAGTCAGCTGATGATATGGCCCGGGCAGCAGCCAAAACGCGTCTTGACGAATAGTCAAAGTCGTGGTGGAAGCGTAAGTTTTTTGTTGATCTCCTGAGTCATGCATGTATTGCAAGCTTCAAGGATCGGACAAACTTAACTAATCCATACTTTTCAAAACTTCAGGTTTCTTCTTGTTACAACTAGTGTATGCTACCTCTCGGCATCTGAAGTTAAGGATGTCGGCGAGACTTTGCCCGGAAAGAAAAAAGCCAGAGAAATGTCGATTCGAGATTACCAGCAAATGGATTTGCTGGCGTTGGAATATCTTGGCTATGCCGTCCAGATATTTGAAGGGAAGTTGAAGTTTATGAAATTGTGAGTATGAACACATTTGTTTACTTTCGCACCTTTGTAGGCGATGTAGGGTATGGTAACGATGATATCGAAAGTGGTACTCAGGTTGATCTGTTGTCATGACGAACTACTTAACAGGATATAAAATTAAGAGCCACGATATTGGTTTCCTTTTCAAAATTTTGCATAATTTACGGTAAGGTATTGAAATTTCAAAAATTTAACTCATATTATTAGAGAGTATTGAATTCGTTCACATTTCCCACTTAAAGACTTTCCGAAATCCACGCGAGTCAAATTAGGCACTGAAGTAATTCAGGTACATTTTACAATTCGTATGAAAGAATTTCATTGTGCACTAACTTTTTTGTTTGAATTGTTGCCATGTTTTGATTTGCTAGCGGAAGCGAGGCGTGAATGATCTACTATCGATATTTCCCCATATGAAGCTGTGGTAAAGAATCGATTGTTATAAGGTGTTGGTTGCGAGCACCCTGTTTATCGATCCTTTTTCATAGGTTCAAATGGTAGATCAGTAGATGTAAAGCGAAGCACGCAAAGCCACTGATGGCTAGCCATTTAATGGATAAAATGATTTAAACTGGGCGAGAATGTCTGTGATGTAAATTCACATTCATGTTTTCACATTCACATTTCATGTTTTGGTAGACCTATAACGCTGGGATAAAGAATGCAACACTTACTAACACTGTCCTGTCAGTTACAACATTCTTATGTGGGTTTCGAGAGCAGAGTGAGATTGGAGGTGAAAATAGGGCCTTTTGACCGACAACTTAAACCTTCAATTGGTTCTAATCCTGAAAAAGCTCGCAAGTTTTTCATTCTGAAGAAGGAAAATTGATGTGAGCTCCATGCTTTAAATTATGAGTGACGGGAACATTTCCGAATTTGAAGCCCAAGTTACAAACTTTTAATCGCATTCTCTTACATAATTGTTTTGCAGTTTTCGTAAGCATTATTTGGTCGAAGAATCGGCACTGAAACTGGATCCCTATCGTTTTACGAGTGATGTAATTCAACATTTCAAAATAATGAAACGGTTTGTTCATGATTGGGACGAGATGTTCAAAGTGGTTAAGGACAATCAAATCCCAGGTAAATATATCTAGACTGCCAATGGGCAGGGCGCTCTCATGAAGATTTGATACTTTAGCATTTTTTTGGAATTCCTATTAGATAAATGGAGAATTTGCAGGTGCCTGAAATTTGATGAATTTCGTCTTTAAGTGGAAACTACTGAGTGAACTGAACATGAGAATACCCTCGGTTCATAAATTAAACCATTCTTGATGGAAGTATGACGAAATGATCTAATCAGCTAAAAAACATGCGTTTAAATGAGGAATGCCGCCAGATGACGTCTTACGCACAAGGCGGTGCAGGTTTTCACTTTTAAATCTATTTTTATTCTGTTTCCCATGTCAGAGAAACATTATGAAAAATAATGCAAAATCATCTCTTTTAGCACTCTTAAATTTATTCTAGACTCATCATTATTGATGTGTAGAATGAGCACGAAGAAGACATGCGCTTGTACAATTTATGATGCTTCACATCCAATTACTTTATTCTGTACACAGATTTAGACAAGCAATACGAAAAAAAGGTAAAAAAATATGATTGGCCATCGGACGAGCGTCTCAGAGAAGTTGTTGAGAATTATTTGGATTTTCAAAAAAAGAAAAAACTCTCCGCCAAGGCCTTAGCCGACCAGAAATTTGCAGGGGCCAAGCACGAGACAAAACTTAGAAGTAAGCATCTTCATTCAACTTCTATTTTTCAAAGGCATTATTCTATTTATTTTATTTTATTGTACATTCTGCCGTGTTAAGCAAGAACGCCGTAAATCCATCAAGATTTTCCCGCGTTTTTTCGAACTTAACGTTTTATAGAATGAAAACTATTTTACTTATGCACCTCAAATTTTCAGGTTGAGTTTTCGAGAGTGAAGTCTGTGAAAATATTGTCCCAAAGCACACAAGTTTTTCTGCTATGATACATGTTCCAAAAGTTTAAAATTGCGCGTTTTCGGCGTTTTTGCAATGCACGGCAGTATGGTTAAAAATTTGACGATTCATCCTTCTCCTGAAAATATTGACGGAGACGTTGAGAAGATCGAATTTGCGAATTTTTCCAGACAAAACAATAAAACTTGCTGTGCGTAGTTAGGAATTTTTCGATTTTCCTGGAGGAAAAATTTAAGTAAAACTTGCATGGAAAACAAGACTGTATTGAAGCATCTGAAAGTCGCACGGCACCAGACGTATTTCTTCTGGAATCACAAGTGAAGAAATAATGCTTTAACATTAAGTTCAGCGATAACATGTGACAAAATATTTATTTGTCGCAGAAATATTTATTTTATATTATAAATCCATCCGCCTTGAATCGAAAAATATAAACATTTCAGAAATAAATAAACAAAATAGAACGTACTGATTATTATACTTTGAACTGAAAGAGACGTATTTTTCTTCTTGAATGCATGGTACCAGTTAGCACACTCTTGCGTGCGTGTAGTGAAATTCGAGATGTATGTTAGGTTTGGTATCGATAAAGCAACGAAATTAAGTGCGAGGTATAGCGTAGAGTATCAAGAGAAACTGAAGGCGCTCCAGGCTGGTATCTTGCTTCTAAAGCTAATATGCATGCTGCTTGCAAATGCCCAGCAATTGCTGACTGCCTGTGACATGTACATCGCCGAGAGTAACGGTAAATAGGTAGTAAAATACATGCATGTTTAATTTAAACATACTTTTATCATAGATGTTTTGATTTTGGAACCATTTTTAAAGATCATGCCTTTGATCATTTCAATTCATTAGCAAGCTGTAATTCTGATTTCTCTTTAATCTTCAGGTAGTGACTGCCACGCAATTGCAGCGCATTTAATTTACGACCCCAAGAGGCAATCGCTTGCTCTCGAATGGTTGAAAGAGGCATACGCGAGGTTCCATGAAAAAAATGAAACGGAGCGTTACAAGCAAGACCTCCTTCTGGATCTAGCATTTACTCTCTCTGAAACAGGTAGTATTTGACAAACTAGAAAATCCGTATCACATCTATTCAAACAGTTGTTTTCTTCCACTTCAGAGCGTTGCTGGCTGCCTGAAAATGTTTGCACATGCATCCAAAACCGCAAACACTCCTGGTCGTTGGCAGAGAAACCAAAAATTCCACTGCCTTTGTTCTTCATAAATTATGGATACATTTGTTATATAATCCCTTATAATTTGTGTCATGGAAAGGGAAGATTTCAGGTTTAATAATGGTCTTTTTCGCAAAACAATGCACCGTGAACTGCAAACTGCGCTAGGTACGCTTTAATTTCGGTTGGGAAAATTTTAGAAATTTTCCCCCCAACATCACTAGAGGTGCATCATTTCATCAATGAAAATAATCGTAAAAAAGCTTGGCAGTAGTCTCAAACACCCAGTATAAAATATGCATCGGTTCAAAATCATTCGAAGTATAAATAAACCTTAGCATTAAATTTTACATGCACACAGGTCACACCAAAGAGGCGGTCGATTTCGCTGAAAATTTCACGAGAACAAACATGAAGAACGGATATATCTACGCCGATATGCACAAATATCTTAAAGCCAGACTCGAAAATCGGCCTGTTCAGGACCTAAAGAAGAACACAACTCCCGTAAGTCGCTATCACCTGAAATTATTTCAATTCGAAGGGTATGGCCAAATGTAAGGCACAAACATAATTTAAGTACAAGACAGGATACTTGGTATTTTAGAAATTGTCTTAAAAAATATCATTCTAAAAATATAGTTTCAACTTTCCTATTGTTTTTATATACGAAGAGTACGATGGCATTTGGACGTATTTCTGCCAAACGGAACCATGTGCATTTAGACATGAGCCCTGAGACCTATAAGAATGTTTGCATAAAAGGGCTCACGTCATAATGCACATGGTTCCGTTTGACAGAAATACGTCCATTTGATGGAAGTCGTGGAAACCCGTGCTCGCTTCTAATCGGTGCCGGATGACATCATCCGGTTCGACGCGCGCGAAACCGGGGCATTTAAAAATTGTGGAAAAGTTGGGCATTTTGAACTCCGTATACTCTCGGTTTCATGGTTACTTTTTCGCGGTTTTAACTCGCGCACCATCTTCTACGCGTCTTTCACTTCTGAGCATATATGCATTGGCAAGTCAAGATCCGTGCACGGTTTAGTGACCCATTATCTCATTGTAACTTTTAGCTGAAATCCACACTTTCGTGCTAGAGAGAAACGCCGTACAAACATTCGAGAGTTGCCAGATTTCGTTCGATAAAATGTTTATTTTTAAGGAAAGCTGTGGATATTTTTCCTTGAAATATTCAGGAGCTTTAGGTGAAATTGCGAGCAAAGTTATCTAAAAAATTGGAGGGAAAATATTTAAAAACTAACCCTGAAATTCGTGATTTACTGAGGAAAATTCGGCAACGCCTGAAGACTCATACGGCGTTTCATTGTCATTTTCTGCAGGAGGATACTACTCTTGACCTCCCACTTTACCCCGATCTCCGCCATTGGCATTTGGCTGATGTTTGCAAAGGGAACGCAAGGCTGCCCCCGAGCTACGTGGCCAAGTTGAAATGCCGCTACACAATCAACGACTCACCTTTATTCGTCTTGTCACCGCTGAGGGAGGAAGAGCTGTACTTGGATCCCAAAGTGTCCATCTACCGCAACTTTTTAACCGACGGCGAGGTTGACGGTTTGATAGACTCAGCATATGGCCGAGTAAGTTTATTAAACTAACTCTTAAAGTAAAAACAAGAAGACATTCCATCATGAATATGTTGAAAAAGCGTGCCAAACAACTGAAATGCCACGGAGGCATATTATTTTCGGGTTGTCCAACTCGTGTTCGGTGTTGATCTCTCGAAATAGTGTGGGATATCCCCTCTATTACGGCCTCGTGGGATATCCCCTCTATTACAGCCTCAACACGGAGAGCTTCTTTTAAGCTTTGGAGTTGATTTTGAAGAAAACTAGTGGCACCATCTTGTATTTCGCGAAATTCTATGAAGGAATAAGTACTTAGATCGCCAATGGACCAATAGACAAGCTACGAATTTAAGCATTCTAATACATATTCCTTGACCAAAATTTCACGTAGAACACGATTCGCGCAACGAAAATTACCGAAATCAACTCCTAACAAAGATATTAACGTTTATACATATTTCACATTGGTTACGAGGAGTTTGAACTGCCCGCTCACAAGAAACTCAAAGCTCTACGTGAGTCAAATTGTGCACTACAACGGTTTCAGCAAACTTCTCAATCAAGCGATGTTCATTTCCCACCATGTGCTGTTCAATCTATAAACAACTTGCAATAGCTGAGCTAAAGCGTCAAGATTAAGGTTGCCAGATTTTTATATCGCAGAGACTGTCATGATAACGTTTAGCGCGCGATGTGAGTCACGTAGAGCATTGAGTTTTTATGAGCGGGTGGTTTGAATTCACGCATCAAGAATCATTAAATATCTTCATAACGAGTTGATTTTGGTAATTTTCGTTGTGCGCATCGTGTTCTACGTGAAATTCTGGTCAAGAAACATGTATTAGAGTGCTTAAATTCGTACCTTGTCTATTGGTCCATTCCTTACGTATGGAAGAGATCCATTGAAATCAGCTGCATTAAAAATTGATCTGGGCTGTGTGCCAATTATTTTTCCCAGGACAGATGACCTTCCTTGTGCGGACTTGCTGCTTACCTAGGTACAGCCTCAC